CCCCCTCCACAGGGATTGTCCACTTTGCAGGACCCTGACACATCTTCTCTCCCCCCGCAGGGTCCCCCAGGACCCCCGGGTCCCCCAGGCCCCCCTGGGCTGCCTGGCAGCATAGTCTACGACAGCAGCAATGTGAGTAACAACACCATCACTGTGATGGGGGAAGCTGAGGGCTGGTGACCATGTCCTCCCAGTGACCCCTGCTTGGCTGGAGGGGATGGAGGACACTCTGGTGACATCCCAGCCAGGGCTGGCATGTGGGGCTGCCATCAGGTGGGGGTCCCCAAGGATGCTGCTGTCTCTGCAGCTGCTTCCTTTGCATCCCCACAGGCCTTCAGCGACACCAGCCATCCCGCGCTGCCAGCCTTCCCCGGTAAGGGGGTGTCCTTCTCCCAGCCTCCTTGGGGCGGTTCGGGGACCTCCAACAAGGCCGGTGGGGGGAATGGGACCCCCTCCATTAGAGCTGGGGCTGGGATGCTGCAGCACTGAGATGGTATCTCTCTGCTGCTCCCCACAGGTTTCCACCAGTTTCCAGGACAAAAGGGAGAGAAAGGCGATGCCGGAGCCCCGGGACCCCCAGGTGGGTGACCCATCCCCGCAGGCAGAGGTGGGCAGGGGGTGGCTTGTGCTTACCCCAGCTCTCCTCTCCCCTCCTCTCCCTCTCCACAGGCCACTTCCCCTATGACCTGAGTCACTTCGGTGTCAACCTGCGGGTAAGCCCTTTGCCTGCCGCCGGCGGCTCACGGGGTGGCACCCAGCACAATTTGGCGTATCGGGGTGCGCCCTGGCTGCTCACCCTAAGACCGTGCTATCCCACAGGGTGACAAGGGGGACGCAGGTCCCAAGGGCGAGAAGGGCGAGCCGGGCAGCACCCCACTCTACGGTCCCAGCGTCTCCGGGCTGCCGGGGCCTCCGGGGCCCCAGGGCTACCCCGGGCTGCCAGTGAGTACCCCATGGCGCTGGGGACGAGGAGAGCATGGGGAGGGCGGCATCCCCAGATGCTTTGCTCCAGGGATGCTCTCTCACACTGCCTAGGGTCCCAAGGGGGACAGTATTGTTGGGCCACCAGGGCCTCCCGGACCTCAGGGCCCCCCCGGTATTGGATACGAGGGGCAGCAGGGCCCCCCTGGCCCTCCTGGCCCCCCTGGTCCACCCTCCTTCCCAGGGCCCCACAGACAAGGTGAGTACCTGTGCCACTGCATCCCTCCCTGCACACGCCGCATCACTCTCTACACACCCTGCATCTCCCTCCCCATGCCCTGTGCTGTAGCCCTCTCCATTTCGCCTTCTTCCTCTCAGCTATCAGCATCCCCGGCCCTCCCGGACCACCAGGACCCCCCGGGCCACCAGGCACCAGCGCGACGTCCTTGGGGGTGAGCTGGGGCTCTGGGCTGGGGGGGTGTTGCCTGCAGGCTGGCCAGCCGAGCCCTGAGCCACCCGCCGGGCTATGCCCACAGCTGCGCACCCTGCCGACCTACCAGGCGATGCTGAGCGCCATGCACGAGCTGCCCGAGGGTGGCCTCGTCTTCCTGACCGACCGGCAAGAACTGTATGTCCGCCTGCGTGGGGGCTTCCGCCGGGTGCTGGTGAGTGTGGGGGGGTGAAGGTGGCACCCCATCTTGAGTTGCACTGCCTGGCTCTGAGGGCCTGCAGGCAGCATCACCCTGGGGTTTCAGTGGCATCTTTTGGGGGTACTCGGGTGTCCCCCCACCCTTGCACAAGGATGAGGAGAGGGGGGTGGCTGGGATCTGATGTGCCATGTACTTGCAGCTGGAGGAGCACACCCTGATCTCTAGCTCGGCTCTGGTGAGTTCCCTGTCCCCATCCCCATGTCCATCCATCCATCCCCACCCCCATCGCCATCGTCATCCCCACCCCTAACCATCCCCATCTCTGCCCAGGGCAGCACCAACCTTCAGCCTGTCTCTCCCTCCCTCCCCAGGACAATGAGGTGTACGACAAGCCCCCCAGCATCCACT